GGCAGGGACAGCAGCCAGCAGAGAAGCTCTCCTTTTGCCCACCAGCATCGTTTCGCTCTACATTTGATCCTTCTCCAGACACAGTCCCAAGAGCTGCTGGCCACCCAGCCCTCTGGACAGCAGTACTCACAGTTCCCTGTTATGATGTGGCCACCGGGGATGGTCTTAAGTGGAGACGTTTCCCAGACGTGGCTGCAGAATTTCTCCACCTGCTGCTGGAAGTCAGGATCGATCTCATCATCCTCAAGCTCCTCCAAGCGGACCAGGTCCCCCTTTCTGGCCGGCTGGTCAAAAACAAAGCACTTGCGATGCGGAAAGAACTGGTGGATGCATTCCCGGGGCTGGTTGTAGCGTTGGGTCTCCGGGCTGCTGCCTGTGGGGTAAGAGGACATGAAGCAAGTTCAGCGGGCTTGGGCTGTTGTTGAATTACACCGCAGCGCTGCTGGCTCTGGGGCTGGACATCTCCAGCAGCACAGCACCATTCCCTTACCAGCCTTTAACTTCAGTGCGTTCTCCAAGTATTTGTCCTCAGAGATTTCCTCCCCATCCAGCTCCAGCTGCAGGGTGAAATCCCGGACAGCCCAGATGAAAGTCGGGAGGAAGAGGACAATTTTTTCTGAATCCTCCGGTTCATCTTCACTCGCCTTGGGTGCTGCTTTCAACTTGACATGCCCAGCCAGCTTCATCGCGTAGCTAGGGAGCTGGCTAAGGAAACAGGGACGTCAGCTCTGAATGCAGGGGCATCGCCATCCTGCAACCACTCAGCACTCGACGGGGCAGAGAGGAGACTCTGCAGGGGTGGAGAACAGCCTGGAACCACCAGAAAGAGGAGGGAGAAAAGCCCTCAGCCCTGAGGTCCCCAACACAAGGACTCCTAAGGCCTCAAAGCACATCACTGGGCACCACCAGAAGGTTCTGCAGCTGTGGGAGCAACTGGGATTTGTCAACCCCTAGCCCCCCACACAGGGAGAGGAGGGCATCCCTGGTGCTGCTGTCCCACCAAGGATACTGCAGCTGGTCCATGGCTTGCTGGTCAATGGTGCCTTTGCTGTTGTAGATCAGGGTGCTGGAGAGCAGGACGGCCAGCACAAAGATCCAGGCGTCGTTCTTGCTGTCGCCCTGCAACAACAACCCTTGGCTCTTATCAAGATGACTCCCCAAGTATCAGCAAAGCCTCAGATCCTCCGACCCCAAATGCCCCTAACCACCCGGCCACAGCAAGAGCAGGTTTTGGAGAGACTCGCCCCCATGCCATCACTGTGTCTCTCTGTAGCTGGGCTTATCCTCCACTCTTAACTCGCAAGGTCCCACAGACCTCTATCAAAGTGCTCCCCGAGCTCCTTGTTCCTGTTCTGCTGCTCTCTTCCAGAAAAGCAGAGTGATGTGGCAACTTGTCCACCCCGACCTCCTTCCCCATGGCCTCTGGCTCGTCCCAGCACACAGGCTGAAGGCCGCCGTAGGCGGGGGGAGCACCTTGACCCTGGTCACCATGGCGGGGCCCTCAAGAGCTTCCACAAAGTGCTGGGAATGCACAAAGGCAGCTTCTGCTTCTTCCACACCTTCTCCACATCACCCAGTCCTTCGGTGTCCAGCAGCACCAGAGTGTGTCCAGGCTGGCAGGGGTGAGGTACACACCACATCCAGATACCTTTGGTGTGGGACTGCACGCCGGAGCCCAGGGAGAAACCTATGCGAGGACACAAGGGTCTCAACCGTGTTAAGTACAGAGCAGGAAAACCCCGGTACCTTGGCCGTGCAGGCCTGGGACCTCCCTCACCTTTCCTCTCACCAGCCAGCCTGTTCATGAGGTAGGACTTGCCCGTGCGGTACAGCCCTGTGATGGCCACCACCACCACCGGCTGGGTGATCTCTGACAGCACCTGCAGGGCTTCCTGACGGACCACCAGCCCCTTCGTCTGGGTGTTCTCAATGAGGCAGACAGGCTCCGGCATGTGGATGTCAGATGCCATCGCCGACAGCAAACACAGCCTGCAAAGGAGACGGTGAGATGCGCTGGTCAACACGCTGGGGACAGCCCACAGTCCAAAGAGGGACAGTCATTATCATTCTGCTTCATTTTTCCAAGCCAATTGTGCTTTGCACCAAATTGCTTCCGCCACGCCTCCCCTTCTTGCCCCTTGCCAGCCGTGCTCTGAAGATGATGACGAGACTTAGAAGAGGTGCACAGCCCCTTCTCGCTGGCCTCACAACAGAAAGAGATCGATTCCTGAAAGCCCAGTGGCACGGTGGAAGTGCTCGGCATTATTTCCTGAAGTTTGCTCAGCGATGCAAATGCAAACCGCTGCTCACCGCCAACTGACCAATGCCCAGCCCTGAGCAGCAGCAGCAGCAGCCTCCGCCGCAAACTCCCCTCTAGTTTTATTGCTGAGCATCACGTCATAGGGGTGACGTCAGCCATCCCGGCCGTGTGCCCTCCCACCTCCTTGCCCACCCCCAGCCTGCTCGCTGACGGGTGGTGCGAGAAGCGGAAAAGCCCTTGACTCTGTAAGCATTGTTCAGCAGAAAGGAAAAGACCTGTATATTATCACCACCGCTTTCAGCACAAATCCAAAGTGCAGCCCCATACACACCGTGAAGAAAATTAACTCTATCCCAGCCAAAACCAGCGCAGGCTGCACCAGAAGTTGGGAGGGGACACAGCCAGGACAGCTGACCCCAACTGACCATTTTGCTTTGCTTGCACGCCCGGCTTTTGCTTCACCTATTAAACTCTCTTCATCTCAACGCACAAATTTCTCACTCTTATCCTTCCGATTCTCTCCCCCATCCCGCCGGGATGCGTGGGGCTGAGCTGCCGGCCGGGGTTAAACCACGACAAGCCCCAGCCATCACCCCACCTCCGCCAGGTACCAGTAAAGCCCACGGACGCAGAGGCAGCACAATGGCTCATCCCACGCCCGGACCCCGAAGCTGCCCCACTGCAACCTGCGGACCCCCCGGGACTCGCTCCAGCGATGGCCAGCTCCACAGACACTGCCCACCTCTGGGCTTTGAGCCCTTTCTGAGGACCTCACGAGCCCTGCCTTCTGCCAGGAACACCAAGGGGATTGCCACTGGGGGACAAGAGGCTGCCCCTCACGTCTCGGGCATTCCAGCACAGCAGGGATGAGACGAAAGCTTAGGGCATAGGCTCCAAGCTGAGGCAAGTCCCAACTTGCAAGCAAAGCCATGGGGGGGTTGAGCACAGGCTCCCCGCCACCCATTCCCCTTGCTCCATCCCAGAGCCCGAGCAGAGCTTTGGACCTCGTCCCCCTCCTGCCTGGCGGGGTCCCTTTCGCTTGTTGGGGTCTCTGTCGCTTGCTGGGGTCAGAAGGAATCATCCCGCAGCCCCAGTGCCCAGAGCTGCTTGCGTGGGATGCGGAGGAGGGATTACGGAAAGGACTCACCGTTGTCTTTGTCCCCTGCCCTGGGCTGAAACAGCTTTGCTGCAGCCTGAGTCCTGCCCTGCCTTTTATCCTGCACCCTTGGCCACAACCACCTCCCCTCCTCTTCCGGGAAATAAGTGTGAGAGAGCAGAAGCGAAAGTCAGGAACTGGGAGGGAGGAGGAAATCCCTACCAGAGGTCCCGTCCCACTCGGTGGGTGAGGGTGAGGTTAACTCTTTAATTCTCTGCACGGTAGTCAGGGGTAACAGCAATTACTTGAGAGGTTCAAACAAATCACAACTTTACTTAAAACTCAGCAGAACTACGAAAGATAACAGCTTGGCAAAAGTTATAAAAAAATACTTAAAACTCAGCGGAACCATGGAAGAAAACGTCTTAGCAAAACTTGTGATGACATTATCCTAACATGCCAAAAATTAAGTCAGAGACAGAGGGAGCAGCAAGGGGGAGAGAGAAAGAGAAAGAAAGGGAAGAAAAGAAAAAAGATATCACCACCCTTGGATCCAGAGATGTTTTCTCCTCGTAGCTGTAGTCCTAGGGTGGTGACTATGCACTGGAAACCGATGTTTCCCCTTTACAGAACCCAAATAGTTGTAGTCCTCAGGTGGGAAACTTGTGTTTCCCTTTATATAACCCAAAATCGCCCGTCCCATAGGCGGGGGGCTGCCACCACTGAGCAGGCGCAGTATGTGCTCGTGAATGTTCCAGAAAATGAGTCAGTGTGTTGAAATTTACTCGTTACTGGAGCTCCAGGGATGGACAGTGGTTGGACCCCAGCCAGCAGCTCAGCATGAAAAGAGGCAGCAGGAGAAATAGCGATGGTTTAATAAGCAAAGGAACAGGAAACTCCCCAGTCTGGTGCGGCCCTCTGAGTATTGCCCGCTGTTGGTTATGCAGTTGGCAGTGATGAGGTTGCAAAGAGAAGTCCAAAAGAGATCAGAAGGGACTTCAGGGCACTGGGGCGATGGGTTGAAGTGTCAGGAGCACAGGCAGTGTTTTCCTCAGTCCCATCAGCAGCAGGGAAGAATACTGAAGGGAACAGGGAAACTCAAGTGATCACCACGTGGCTCAGAGGCTGGTGTCACTGGTGGAATTTTGGGGATTTTGATCATGGGGAACTTTACACGGCACCGGGCCTGCTGGCAACTGATGGAGTCCAGCTATCTCAAAGGGGGGAAAGGATTCTCGCTCGTGAGTTGGCGGGGCTCATTGAGAGGGCTTTAAACTAGGATTGAAGGGGGGAGGAGACACAACCAGGCTCACCAGAGAGGAGCCTAGGGGTGGCAGGCCAATGTTGGGGGTGAAATCGAAAGCCCAGTTCAAGTGCATCTACACCAATGCACGCAGCATGGGCAACAAACAGGAGGAGCTGGAAGCCATTGTGCAGCAGAATAGCTATGACTTAGTCGCCATCACAGAAACGTGGTGGGACGACTCTCACGACTGGAGTGCTGCAATGGATGGCTGTAAGCTCTTCAGAAGGGATAGGCAGGGAAGGAGGGGTGGTGGGGTGGCTCTGTATGTTAGGGAGTTGATGTGGTTTAGCCCCAGCCAGCAGCTGAACGCCACGCACTGCTTGCTCACCCCTCCCCCAGCGGGATGGGGAAGAGAACGGAAAAACAAGGGCAAAGCCTCGAGGGTTGGTATAAGGGCAGTTTACTGGGACAGCAAGGGAGAGGGAAACAATCAACAACAGTGCTGATAACAGATAGTAACAATGGGTGAGAGCAGAGAACAATTCACCGATCCGATGACCGACCCACCGACCAGAAGCTCAGCCTGTCCCGCAGCCACGACAACCCGCCCCTGCCCAACTAGCCCCCCTTTTATGGTGACCATGACATCACATGGTACAGAATAGCCCCTGGCCAGCTAGGCTCACCTGTCCTGGCTCCTTGTGAAATTAACACTTTCCTCGCCAGAACCAGGACAGGAGTGTTTCGATTGTATAGCGCTTGACGATTGTGATGATAAGGTCGAGTGCTTACGGGTAAGGATGAGGGGGAAGGCTAACAGGGCAGAGATGCTGCTGGGAGTCTGTTACAGATCACCCAACCGGGATGAAGAGGCAGAGGAAGCATTCTACAGGTGGCTGGCAGAAGTCTCACAATCGCTAGCCCTTCTTCTCGTGGGGAGCGTGAACTTACAGCACGTCTGCTGGAAATACAAGACAGCAGAGAGGAAACAGTC